GGGGGGGGATCCCAACCTCGCGGCCCAACAGGGCACAGCAGCGCTCGAGAAGCTTAGAAGAGGTCTAGGGGGACGGGGACGCGCAGGGGCGTCCTGAGCCCGCCTTGGAGCGCGGGGACGGGACGTCCTCCTCAGCCCGTGTCCTCAGGGGACCAGGCTGGAGGAGCAGCCCGCAGAAATGCAACTCTGCGTCCGTAACGGTCGCCCGTGCCAGAAGGCAGGATGGTCCCGCAAACCCATCCAGCTACAGTGGCTCTGCCTCTTCCATCTCCATGGCCACCCTCTTCTTCCGCTGTGGCTCGCTGGCCCCGAGCCCTGTCGAGCCCGCGGCTCTGCTGGGGAACGGTGCCGGGGATCAGTGCACCTGGGCTGGCCCCGGGGTCGCTCCCTTCCTCCTGCTGCTCCACTGTGCCCTTGATCCAAGATGCTTCTGTGGGTATCAGGTACCCGTTGGCAAGAGCATTAAATACCCTCTTCTGCATAAGGCTTTTTTAAGCCCCTATACTACATGGGGACAGTTTGTACAATGCTGTTTCTCTCCAGTTAGATGCTTTTATCGTTAAGCAATGAGAAATCTTATTTCCCACCTGCAGTTTTCATTGTGGATAAGAAAGAACAGTTTACTGGGTGTGTGTGCCTGCTGCGGGGGTGCGTAGCACCCACCACTGGGTCTCTCAGTTCCTGCTGTGGTTTGTTTCTTCTCAGATTTTTGATCCTCCGGAGGAGCTGGAGAGGAAAGTGCGTGAACTGGCAGATTTGATAAGGAGTTCCTCGAACGTGGTGTTTCACACAGGGGCTGGAATCAGTACTGCCTCAGGGATTCCCGACTTCAGGTAAGGATGGTGGGTAAGGGAGCAGGACAGCAAGTGAGGGGTGGAAGGAGTAGCACCTCCTCGTGGGCCATTGCACTTCTCGCAAAGCTCTGGACTGTGCTCCCTGCCGCCCCTTCCTGCCTGCAGCAAGACCTGGTCCTGTAACCAGCCACCACTCAGCAGACACTACCCTTTCCCTCTTGCAAGTCGCTGCTTGACATTAAGCTGTACCTGCAGAAGCCCCGTGTGTGTTCTCCTTCATCAAGGTCAGAGATCCCTGGTAACGGGTGACCTTCATTTAGCAGAGTCTTGCTCTTACTCTGTTGATAGTGCTCGTGATGCATTCACAAGCATCTTAGAGTCTGTGATCGTCACTTTTCTGTCTGCTCTGCCACAGGGGGCCAAATGGTGTCTGGACTATGGAAGAGAAGGGGCTCTCCCCAAAATTTGACACCACCTTTGAGAATGCCAGGCCCTCCAAGACTCACATGGCACTGCTGGGGCTGCAGAGAGTCGGCATCCTCAAGTTCCTGGTCAGCCAGAACGTGGACGGCCTTCACGTCCGTTCGGGATTCCCACGGTACTGCTTCTCCCGCCTTGCTTCTGGGTCCCCTGTGCCTGCCCCAGCCCCAGCCACTGTTGTGTGGCTGTTCTTGCTGCCCAGTTAGGGTGGTCGCATGTGCAAACTCTTGCCAATGCTCCTAACAAAATGGGCCAGCTAATTTTCTCTTGATGCTGGGGCCTGAATGCTCTGCTTCCAAGAAATGTCCAGCTTGGAAGCTGTCTGCCCACTGATACAAGCGGGGAAACCGGAATGCATTGGTGGGGGAAGGGGATGTAAACCAGCTTGAATTCAGAGAAGAGAGGTTGTGGCAATAATCT